AAACTGCAAAAAATAATGCTACCTATCATTGAAAAGGTTCCCTTTTCAGACGCCTTCTCCTCCACTTTTTTATAAACACGGAATTCTAAAACTTGAAAACATATTTTATGAAAAACTTGCGAATGTCATCTATGATCAATTAAAAACGAATGCAGATCAATTTAAGGATGCTTAATCCAGGAAACTACAAACGTATAGTTTTAGAAAAACCACCTAGTACAGTGAGAGAATTCGGACGAACTATGGCAGGCAAAAGTTAGCACACCTCATTCCTTCATTTCTAAATTCAAGCAGCATGGTTATCAGCATAGTGAACGAAAGTCGTTCAACAACAGTTTTTCTAAAGAAAAGGTACACGCTTATCTACTCTCGCTTCAAACATGACATGTCTGTTTTGTTCTTTTGTATACGATGGCGCATATCGTGTACTGTCTAGGAAATGTAATGCGCCTTAAATTTGTGCAAGTCAGCTGGGGTCCTATTCACTTCGCCATCTGTCACTTGTAATTACCAGGTCAAAACTACGACTGTAATATTAAAGGTTTCTTTGGTATGCGTAAAAAGTGCATAGATAAGTGTCTTGGAATCTCTTATCTCTTCTTCCACTGCTGTCTTTTTATTTTCGCTGTATCTTCTTTTCGACTTTTTTTTCTCTCGCTGTATTGAATTTGTGTTTATGCTTTAAAGATATACTGAGTGTTGTGCATTATTTTGGTCTGGACAGGGATTGGCGCATTGTCAAGCTTTAGTTGCCTTTTCGCTCCTTCCTTCCCATTAAACCATTGGACAAAAATGTATGCTTCAATGATGATGATGAATAAACTTTAAAAAGGCTGCCGACCCAGAAAAAAAATGTCAATCGAAATTTCTATGGGTCCGCCTAGCTCCTTACTCAATCAGCGCTTTGAGCTGCGTTACATCATAGGTGGCTACTGGCGAACTACAGAGAGAAGAGAATTATCATAACTATAATTAAATCATGCGCTCGCTTCGTCAGCAGTCTCTACGATATCCAGAGCACAGTGTTCCTCATTTGAGCCTACATGCGCTCGATTGTTTCACGAGAAACCCCAGAATAAGTAACGTTTTCACAACATTAATTGGTGACGACTCTTTCTCGTCATGCCAGTTTTGTGGAAAATAATAATTATTGCTTTCCGCACATTACATACTAAACTTAATAAAAACAACACTCAAACATATTAAAAAGTGTCGATTGTATATATAGCCCATCTGTTAATCCACGTGAATTCATTGTAACCAGTTCTTATTTTGTATCAACAGCTTAAATTGTGCTCCTTTCTAAATATTCCATTGGCGTAACGCCATGGCAAGCAAGAAAGTTTGTGACGATGTTTTGTGTTACAAGCGTAGTTCTATTATTAAGCGTCAAAAGTGTAGGCAGGTAGTGGTGCATCTTGTTTTGAGAAATTTACTTTCCTTGTATATGTACACAGTAAACACACACACACACACTTTATATATATATATATATATATATATATATATATATATATATACTTTCCTTGTATATGTACACAGTAAACACACACACACACTTTATATATATATATATATATATATATATATATATATATATATATATATATATATATATATATATATATATATATATATATATATATATATATATATTCACTGCCCCTTAGCACAGCTACTATTTTTAGGCGTTGCAATTCTCGTCCGACTACGTTAGACTTTAACTAGTTTTCAGACCTCATACTCGAAAAGGGGATATCTACAGTGCGCATTTTGTAGAAACACGCTATGTTCCGCTTCGCTAACTGTAAACCATTGGTGCAGGGTTACCCAGGATTTCTTTTTTTAGGGGGTGTGCTGTGCAGCACAACGCCTAACTTTGGCAATTTGTGGTCGCTGTGAATGCCTGTGACTATTTGAGTATACCCTGAAAAGTTAAATTACCAAAATATTTTATTGTGTAGGGGGTTCAGATTCCTTTCCTATCCCCTCTTTCCTTGTGGCTTTCTAGTTCTGCGTGCGTGTATTTGTTTTTTTATTTGTTTTGTTAAACAGTATTTGTTCTTTGATCTCACAGCTTTCTGAGCACAGCTAACTTCAAATAAATTAGCTCAGTTGTTCTGAATATTGTAGACGCCTAACCAACAAAGAAAGAGTTAAGAGAGAAGAAATCAGCATAAGACAAACCCTTTTTGAATTATTTTCGATCTCTCACAAGAGCTTTTATGGCGCTCAAATTCAGTATATGGGCATGTCATACTTCAAGGGCTACGGCATCATGTGCTAGACATGAATGATGGGCAGGTGTGAAGAAATCTGCATCAATAAATCGCGATGGAGGAGCCGAGGCCTACGGCAGTTCTTGCACGCGGCGCGCCGCTCTTTCAGTACTATTAGACTGCAGCGCCGCCGCTGCGGGCAACGCGGAAGGGATCAGGCGGCGAGGTGCAGTCACGCCACTCAACACTTCTAGTACACTCTAACAAGGTTACGGCACTCGTAGCCAAAACGACACTGCGTGTCGCTTCCTTCGCTCCATCGAATCTGTGCCGTCCTTTTACGTAGCGGCTGCGACGGGGCTGGTTCAAGCACTGGCTCGCGTTGTTATTGAGACCGGTAGATTAAGATAAGTAAGCATAGCGAGCATCACACAACCTGACGAGGCCAAAAGCACAAAATAAATTTTCTCAGGCCAGCTTGGCTTTGTTGGGCTAATCCATGTTGCACCTAAATGAACTTACTTAAGTCACTGTTAATGTAGCCCAAATTAATCAAATGTAGTCGAGCACTTTATGACCTAAATAGGTCAGGCGTAATTGAGTTCAGTTAAGCCCAGTCCAGCTTGGTGTTGTCATGTTCAGCGAAGTTAGGCTCAGATGAGCGTGCCGATGAGTTGAAGTAAGTATTGCCAAATCTACCTTAAAAACATGCGCACAAAGCAAGATTCATCGATTTCAAATTCAGGAAGGCGGCGTTAAACGCAAAGCAGCCAAATGAACGGTTCTAAACATGTCTTCCAACAAACCACCCGAAGTTTAACTTTTTGTCCTTAGCCTCGGGCTCAATATCAGCATGGGAGCGTCAATGGACAAAAAGAAATTTTTATATGCCGTAGAAACTGCCGCTAGTAAAGTGACCCTACTCAGCGCTACGATGACCGCACACGCGTGGTATCGGTTTTTTCGGGACTTCAGCACCCCCGTCGTCTTCCTTCTCTTCAAAGGAGTGTCAAGCGCTCAGGAGGCTTTGTGGCAACCGTGAGGTCGTGATCATACCTGCCGACAAGGGAAACGCAACTGTTCCGTTAGACAGAGCGGACTACTCGTGGGAGATGTTGATGCTCTTAGAGGACACGAACACGTACGTGCCTCTCGACCATAATCCAACGCCCAAGCTGCAAAGAGACTTCCAAGGACTCTTGGCAGATGTGTTTCGTGGGGTTCCCGCAGAATTCAAGTCACTGTATTTCACATGAATTTGTAACTTAAATTCAGCACCGGCTTTGTGCGACCTGGCCAAGGTCCACAAGGCAGGCGCTTCCATGCGCTCAATTGTGGATTTTACATGCTCGACACTGCACAAGCTAACAGGATTTTCGCATCGCGACATTTCGCCCACTGTAGGACATCGTTGCACGCACATCTGAACTCATGCGACTTAGTGGACAAAGTCCGTGACGTCGCCCACGATCAAAATGACATTTTTGTGTCCTTTGTTGTGAAATCGCTTTTTACCAGTGAACCCAAAGAACTGGCTGTGGATGTGCGCAAGACAGTTCTGGAATCAGATGCGAGTCTAGCGGAAGAGTCGCCAGTGTACGTACCAAACTTAGTTGGGCTTTTACGGTTCTGTTTGTAGAATACGTATTTTACTTTCGAAAACAAGTTTTACAAACAGATCCACGGTGTGGCTAGAGGTGCTTCCATATCAGTGACCACGGCTAATTTGACTACGGAAGCGATGGAAAGTCAAGCCCTCTTCTCATTCAGCCCAGCTCTGAAGGTGTTTTCCTGCTATGTGGACGGCATTTTTGGCACCATTCCACACGGCTATACGCCACGGGTAGCTCTAGAAACGCAGTAGAAACGTGGCAGAGCTTGAAATGGCCAGGTTGATGGGGCAGCCCAGGCACAAAACAGATCCGAGAGGCCGAGTGCCGGCTACAACTGCGCACAGGTGATCCGACAGCCTTCCAAGCCGTGCTAAATCGTGACCAGCAATGAAAGCGCTGGTGACAGGCGGATCCTGCAAACCACGTAGCTTATAAAGCTCGCGATGTCAAACGTTTGCAAAAATGCGGCGTTGCGGCGCCAACGTGATGACTGCGGTAGCGCGTTCGCAGAGGCGAACGCCCGTTTTCAGCGGGAGTTTCTCCAGCGGAACATTGCTTTCGGCTGCGACGTCTGTGACCGCCTGCGTTTTGAGAACAACCACTGTTATTAACGCATTCCGAAACGTATGACACTTCATGACCGTGATCAGTGGGGCCCAGTGTGCAGCATGTGAAACAAGAACTGTGGTGAACCCAAGCTAAAGGTGTGTCTAACCTCATTAAGAAGCACGAACATGTAACCAACCACAAAATGCTTCACGTCGGGTTTAACCCACTGCTAAAAGACCGGAGCAGCAATCTTCAGCTTTTTTCGGTTAACCAATTGTACGGAGTGCTTGAGGTGGAGATTTTTTTCTTAATTTTTCTCTTTGCAAGACGCTCCATTGAAACTGCTGGGTGGCAGCTGCAAACAAATGAAAGACGTCACTAACAGCGTCGCAATAACCAGCGCGCATGCGTTCGAAGTAGAAAACGACGTAACAAAAACCGCAGCCGACGAAGACGTTTCGCGTTTCTCATGGCGAACCGTTTTCCATAAACTACTCTCGCTCTAAAAGGCCGTGATGTAGTGAGTCGTGCACTTCACGTAGAATAATAGAGGACCCGCAGTTATCTTCGTAGTACAACCCCTGAATATACAGCGCGCGGCGCGCTCTTGTGTGTGCAGTCTGGTGCGGCATCCAAGCGCGTGGTGAAGCAGTTCCACTTCACTGCGTGGCCGGACCACGGTGTACCGGCGTACCCGCTCTCGTTGGCCCAAATGATCGAGCTGGCCAAGGCACACGCGCCGTCTAGCAAGGCGCCGCTACTGCTGCACTGCAGGTAAGTTGCTTCATTGTTGCATGGTGTGTGATTCAAAATGAAATGAATTCATCGAGGTCGACGCATTTTAATGAAGGCTACTGGGACTATTGACACCAAAAGGGTGATGATTCAGGCGTTTCTAATGAATGAGGACAAACAGCCAGTGCATTAGCGTGCAATCCCTCATTTTAGGCGACAAAAAAGTGATATTCTCAAAGGTCACTTGCAGACGTGTCAAGTGCAGGTTGTGGACTCGTTTGCACTCGTTGTTGACACTGTAGTGGACACATGATGCTGTCTTTCAACATCATTATACTGAACACGTCAGTGGAATTTCCTCCATGTGTATTTCCACGTTATCAGGTCACTCGCTCATGGTGATTTGTTCGTTCACTCACGTTACTGTATCTTTGACGAGATTACCTCGTTCGGCTTCCCGTAAAATCTGCGTGTTGATAAACAGTCGCAAGATGACACCCATGTTTGTCTTTTCGCGTCGTCGCTGCGTCCTCGTCATTTTACCATAATACCCATTTTCCTTATTACTTCACTTTCTCAGGTGCAGTTGACAGCCCATTATTTGACACGTGCTTAAGCACAACAATTGAGTCCAGAAAACTCGACATAAGATACTGTGTTCGTTGCCCTGTTTCAGCGGCAGTGCAGTTCTTTGCACCAAAAACTTTTGTTATTTTACTTCGTATTCTAAACACTAATGGAGTGAACCATGTGTTCGCATTAGACAGTGGTTTGGTTCTTTAATAAACAAGGTTCACTAGAGCGGGACCAAGCAGCAAGAACAAATGACGTCCACCTAATCGAAACGTGCAAAGCTGAGATCATTCTCGAGGACCTGGAAGACCTGCAGTGAAAAATAGTCGCCAGGGCCAAGAGGGCGGTTGAAGCAAGAGGGTTCCTGGACTAGGGAAGCCTCCCACCTTATGATGATACGGGGCCTCGCTCGAAACACTGTTTCGAAAGAACCGTTTATTTCTTTCTTTATCTCTCTCTCTTTCTGTGCAAAATAAACACGTACAAATAACTGAACGAGGACAGGCGCTGCGTGATTTGCAACTGGACTTTATTGAAAAGAAAATGCCCATTATTTAACACAGACGGCAAATTCACCTACGTGCATGCGAAAAACCTGCTCTAATTATCGTACAATTTTACGAAGGTATCACTGAAGGAAATGTCTGCTTTTTGCGTGACGAAGCCTCGGCAAGTTCACGTACCCACTGGTCTTGACTACGCCTTAAAGTTTTGTTGTCCTAGCAAATGCTAGCATGGTCGGCCACTGCAGTCGACAGGCCTGCGCCACAGTAAAGAGGCATGTTAGATTCTGGTTTCTTCTTTATCGAAAGATGGTGTTCCCTTACAACTCCCGTTTCCCGTAGCAGATGTTCCCTGCTAAGGCAACACCTGGTAAGTGAAGGTAGTGTTTCCTTAGCAGGTGTTCCCTCAGCTATTTTTCTTTTATTTATACATCATCCGGTTTGGCAGATGTATACTTCCCCGCCTATCAGAGGACTTGCTTACAGCACCGTCAAGCACTCGATGAAGTGAGTGGCTTGGCTTTAGTACTATCTATGGTACGCTACTTTTAGGGGTGAAGCTTCTTAAGGCGTGGGTCTGTCCATCCCTTGTATGTATGTAGTACCCTATCGAAAAAAACAGCCTTTCCAGTATCCCCCAGTGCATTTCAGCGCGCGGAGAGGCCCTAGAACACACTGTACAGCGTGGCCAGTGCCGCCCAGTGCGGTGATGGGCCACACTGTACGGCGTAGCCCAATGCCTTAAAGCGCGCTGGGAGGCACTGGAACACACTACAGCGTAGGCCAGTGTCGCCCCGTGCACTGAAACGCACTGGGTCACACTGCACAGCGTAGGCCAATGTCTTAAAGCGCGCTGGTAGGCACTGCTCACGCTGTACAGTGTCTGCTTGCTGCACACTGATAATCTTAGCGGCACATTGGCAGAAACTAGGCGCGATCAGCGCACTTTCTGTAAGACTTCATATTGAATCGCGTCCTGTCGAGCGTAAAATTTGCCGAATATGATGGTATCCTCATCTATGTGCTACACATAGCTTCAGTTTCCTTAGGCAATAAATGCGAGTACGCTAAGGCATTCATATGTTGATTGCGCGGGTCAGAGGCGCTGCCAGGAGTTTTCTGGGGGCGACAAACGACAACTTTGTTCCTGCAGGGGAGCAGGGAGCGCAGAATTTATGCGTCGTGTTTCACCCATGCTTGCTTCTAGAGGCAGGGGACAAAGGAGGAGCATGCAAGAATTTCGGGAAAAAAAGTTCCATCCCACCCATGGATGCCCCCCTTGGCGTGGGTGCCCTTTCCTTGAAGTTTCAGTCTCGTCAATGTATTTCCTAACCGGCATCGATAGAACTGCGAATTAGCAACACAAAATGACAGTATTATCAGTCTGATAATGAAGACAAACCTACTCTATCGGTGAGTTGCTGCGGCTCGTACCGCAGAAAGCCGCATGTCCCCGGCAGCATTTATCTACTGCAATGTCCAATCTTGGTGTTTTTAGCTTCCGATTTGTGTAATCAAAGGTGAAATTATGACTATTCATGGGTCAGTTATAAACAAAACTACATTGTAACGAATATTAGACTCTTTCTAACTGAATATCTACGATCTTCACAGCAACCGTGACACAAGAAGTACGGCTCTAAGCCTAGCGGTCGTTTCGGCTATAGAGTGAACGGCTGTGGCTGTCGTTCCCAGAACGTAAACGAGGAGGACAGAAAATACTTCCAAACTATAAGGGGGCAAAATCTACAATGCTCAGCGAGCAGTTCAGAATAACGCTGTTTTATACATAGGTATGACTAACCGCATAGCGAGTCACAACGATTGCCGTAACAGATCTGCAGCTACGCTAACAAGCTTTGCGACAAAACGTGCCAGATGAATGTGATCTAAGGCAACCCGCAAAGAATAAGCTAACAATTGCAAGTTTGGCACGAGCACGAAGAGACGAAACACTGTGTATATAAACAAGTTCAAAATATTGGATACCTGAATTACTTTTAGGATGAAGAAAAAGGAAGGTACTCTCGCGTTTCGGGTGTGGAGTAGTGGATTCCGCTTCCAGTTGCGAAAGCGTTCGAACGTGTGTATCATGAGCTCCGTAGGAGCGGCATCGGCGGCGCAGGATTGAAATGCCCCAGGATTATGCTATTATTTTGCCCCCTCTGCCGAATGGGTATGTGGTTCAGAACACTGTTTTTCTGCATGCGGATGTAAAAGAAAGATCTTATCACGCGGAAGACTTTCGCGAGCCACTTTTTCGACGTGTTCAGCCCACCGAGGTTCTTGTGCTCGGAGCTTATCAAATAAACCACTTGTGGGCAGTGACCTGCAGAAGCACTGACGGTGTGAAGAAACTTTGAACTGATCCGCAATTGACTGTGGAAGGCCTCAAATGCATGATAATTGACCCAAGCCACCGCGACGTCCGTCTGAAGCTGCATTGGTTGCTCTACCACGTACGAGAAGAGGACGCACGAAATGCACTGACCCCCTACGGGACGGTGCTTGACGTAGGAATGGATAAGTGGCGAATTGACGGCTACACCCAGCATAATACCATGACGAGAACCGTGAAGCTCCGGCTGAAGGCTAACGTTACGCTGGACGATATACCTCACCAGTTACGAGTTGGAGGAGAGCTCGCACTTATTGTGGCAACCAGAAGAGCGCCGCGGTGTTTGCGCTGCCAGCAGATTGGCCACATTAGGAGGGACTGTCGAGTCCTGCGGTGTGACACTTGCAAACGCTTTGGACATGCCCCTGAGAACTGCATGAAGACGTATGCAGCAGCCACACTGAACACCAGGAGCGTGGATAAATCAGAGCTCACTATGAACGAGGCTGAAGCAGAAGAATCGGTGAAATCAAAAACGGCTTGTGAAAGAAAAACACCTAGTGCAGCAGGCATGACGCGATTGCAGAAAGAACAGACAAGGTCAACTGACAGTGGGGGAGTACAACCTATTGCGGATGCATCGGCGAAATCACAAGTGACTTCTGCGGAAAAAACATTCAGTACAGGAGGCGTGATGCATGTGAAAGAAGCAGAAAAAACAAGTGAACCTGCTTGTAAGCAAGCGGCCGCAGAATCATTGACGAGCGCAAAGGAGACTTATGTTTTAAAGGACGCAACCGCTGCAACAGATGAGAGCGAATCATCTACTCAAACTGTCCAGGAACCTGCCGAGGGTGGTGCCATGGAGTGGCACGACGCCGAGGAACCAGGTACGGGAGGGAAACGACCACGAAACGCAGCCTCAACAGAATCAAGTGATATGAGCAATCAAGAACCGCCACCGAAAGCAGCTCTCCTTCGGAGGCAACGACTGGCGGTCAAACATAATATAACAGAAGGGGAAAAGAGGGCGGGAAAACCGGCCTCTTGACAACACATTATGTGTCGCCTTCTACCAAGAAAGTGCACCAAACGACTAAATAGGCGGAACGACTAAAAAGGCGGTACGGTGACCAGCTACTTGTATTTAAAAAAAACTAAGCCTGAAAGTTAAAAGAGCAATGCGTTTTGCCAGCTTAAATGTACGCGGATTAGCTTCAAGAAGGCGGCAGTACCAGTTGAAGAAGCTGTTTTCGGAGCATGACTTGGATGTGATTGCTGTGCAGGAGACTAAAATAGCGACAGAGAAAGGTACCGATCATATGACGTTACCTTTTCGCTCAATGTATAACATCTGTGTATCCCATGCTGATGGCTTATCAGGAGGGTGTGCGCTCTTCATACGATGATCGATAGGCGTCGTTGAAACAAGTGCAGCAAGCAGCGATAAAAGACCCTACGTACTGTGTGATTTTTCTTTCTTGAATTTCGAATGGTGTCGTGTGCTCCGAACCGAGACAGTGAAAGGAAAGTTTTCTTTGAAGAAATAAGTAACTTACTGGAATGTGACAAGTGTGTAGTCCTTTTTGGTGATTTTAACTGTGTTTGTAGAAAGAAGGACCGTG